CTCTCTCTCTCTCTCTCTCTCTCTCTCTCTCTCTCTCTGTCCCTTTCTCTTTAACATAAATTAGGTCATCTACATACTGTTTCGTAGTTTTTCCACTTAGACGTCTGTGAGGTATTTTTTTTCTATGCCATTACATCTCAGTTTATCTCACTAATTTTAATGCCTACAAAGTACTCTATAGCATAGGTTATTTTCCTTAGTGATAGAAATTTAGGTTATAGATGAAATTACATTTCATTTATAGTAATGAAAGTTCTCTTTAACAAGCTTTTCAAAAATGCTTCTGATGTGGGATATTTATTTTCAACAATTGACACACACTCAAAGTAACTACCTGAGGTCAGGAGTACAAACTGACAGCCTGTGAGTATTATAGTCACAGACACATTTTGTTTTACCTGTAGATTAAACAGGGAGTTGCACACAGAACCTGCTCTTTGAAAAATAGAGCAGGCAGTCCTTAGTCCAAATTGCCATATGTTTTCAGTATATGGAATTCGAGTCCCAGGTAAAGGAATATGCACTTCCCACATGGCACCAGCAGGCCCACTTCACTCATTATTCTCCTGACCCTGTAAGATTTGAATTTGTTACTGCCCATAGCCTGCATGAATGGAACATTTAACACACAGGATTGCTCCTTAAACTGAACTATACCATTATTGATAAAGGAAGAGAAGAAAGGAAAAAAAGCACATTGTTAGACCAAGACAGAAATAACTTAAAAACACAACCAGAGAATATCATACCTGATATTTATTAATGGGATTCTGCTTGTCTGAATATTGCTTTGTTAGCAACTATGATCTACTCATTCTAAATCCTATTTATAGCTATAAAATCCAGTCACTTGGATTATTTCAAGATTTGCCTTTTGGTGAATATATCAACCTCCTATTTGATATGTTTACGTGTAACTTTTTCAAAGAAATTATCATTTAGAACTGTCATAATTTACCTCAGTCCCTGTTCACACTAGCTCACCATGCCTTCTCCTATGCCTGAGTACCTGAATGTGCACTACATTGGGGAGTCTGCCTCCAGACTGCTGTTCTTATCAATGCACTGGGCACTTTCGATTCCTTCCTTCCAGGCTCTAGGGTAAGTGTTTTGAAGTCCTTGAGTATAAATGTGATTTTATCGCACAAATGTACACTAAGCAAGAACTTTTATTTTGGATGGATTTGTATTAAAGGAAAAAAATGGTATAACATTTTAAAGTTTTGTTATTTATATGACAAATTATGGCAGTTAGTATTTTCTTATTTTTATATAGGAAGGGTATCCATGTTTCATAATTTGACTGAGTTAATAATTCAAATGGAATATATGCAGTGGAGCTGATAAATCATAGCCAGCATTTGTAATAGGCTGTCTTTGACCTGAAGATAGGGAGGCTGTAGGTATGCCCTGGGCTGCTTGTTTCCCTCCCAGCCCCACTGTTTTCACTGTTCATCTCAGGCATGTTCATAAGGAGCTGAAACTTGCATACAGTGAATGTTTCAAAATAGAAACAGTTGTTTTCCAATCTGTGATTACAAAAAGTGGGGAAGAGGGAGATACTGTAGACCCCATAGTACCACAGTGATAATTTGGAGATACTTACCACCAAGAAACACACCAGTAATCTGTATTACGTCTGTATTACCTGATGTTTGCCAGATCTGTTTAGATTGTGTTAAAGTAACTGGTATGAAGAGGCAAAGAGACCATGGAAAAAGTTAAGTCCATAGTTAGAAAAGTATTTTTCTAGTCACAGGGCCCTACTCACCAACATGATTTCATAAATAATGTGCTTTCATATCCTATACTTCTGTTCTCCCATTTGCCAAAGGAATGATAACTGTCCATCCTTTATTCTTAGAGTATTTAATATGACTAAGAAATATCTCAGTCATGACTTTAAAAAGCATACATAGGGGCGCCTGGGTGGCTCAGTCAGTTAAGCGTCGGGCTCTTGATCTCAGCTCAGGTCTTGATGCTCAGGGTCATGAGTTCGAGCACCACATTGGGCTCTTCACTGGCCATGGAGCCTCCTTTAAAAAAAAAAAAAAAGGCACACATAGAACCCCAGTATAATTTGGTGTTGGGTATACCATGCATTAAGTCACATACTTAACTAATACAGTTACATAGATTGAAAGCCTAATTTAGAATGGTTAACCTTTAGAACTGTTAGCCCTTTCTCTCAAAATATTTAGTTTTCAGAATTTCTCCAGTCTGCTTTTTCTTAACAAAGAATTAAAATATATAAATTTACATATTAGCAGTTTATCTTAAAGGGTTAGGTTTACTTAGTTCCCTAAGCTTTTAACTGGAGTACTTTTGTGTTGAAAAGTAATCTGGTGATATTTGTTATAATAGGCTATCAACTATTGTAGTAAAAAAAAAAAAAAGGAACGATTTTTAGGGAGTGCTTTGAACTCTGAATTACTTATATAACGTTATTGATCTTCAGTACTTCTGTTAAATTAAGTGTGATTATCCTATGGAAACATTCTCCACAGGGCACCTGGGTGGCTCAGTCGTTAAGCGACTGCCTTTGGCTCAGATCATGATCCCAGGGTCCTGGGATCAAGCCCCGCATCGGGCTCCCTGCTCCACGGGAAGCCTGCTTCTCCCTCTCCCACTCCCTCTGCTTGTGTTCCCTCTCTCGCTGTGTCTCTCTCTGTCAAATAAATAAAATCTTTAAAAAAAAAAAAAATTCTCCAAATGTTAAACCAAAAATAAAACCTGAGGTTTCCAGTTATAATCCAGTCTTAGAGTAGCAGCCACATTTCCCTCTGATATGTACTGAAAAATGGTTTTAATGTAACAGCCACAAGATTCTTTGCAATCAGAATTAACCATTGGTGTAGCACGTGAGGCCATTAATCGCTACATAAACTCTTACTTACTGTCCCCATCTAGATTGTTTGTAGTTCAGGTTAATCAGATGGAAGAGGACTAAGTACTGATGATGGGAAATTCTGTTGAGTGGTAATAAAAGCTATTCTGAGTCTCCTAGAAACTGACATTGGTTGCATTTTTATCCATAGACCCAAAACTTGGGAACAAAGCCCTAATATTGCAGAGAGAAACAGATAAGCAACATTAATCAGTTACTAAAAGTCAAGTTTGTTTTGATTACTTATTAAATGGAGAACAGTAGCTTCAAGAACCTTTCAAACAATGGGTGGTTAATACTGTCTGTATTGTACAGTCCTTTATGTTTTACAAGGATTTTACTTTTCTGTTTAAGATTTGTAGTTTCAAAACTTACAGGAATTCAGTTGTTTTTCACTTCTACCTGCATAATTTAGGTGATTGCACCATAGTAAGTTCAGTTACGGGCACTTGGCATGATTTGTCAGCAGTCCTCTCTATTTGGTGTTGGGTATACCATGCATTAAGTCACATACTTAACTAATACAGTTACATAGATTGAAAGCCTAATTTAGAATGGTTAACCTTTAGAACTGTTAGCCCTTTCTCTCAAAATATTTAGTTTTCAGAATTTCTCCAGTCTGCTTTTTCTTAACAAAGAATTAAAATATATAAATTTACATATTAGCAGTTTATCTTAAAGGGTTAGGTTTACTTAGTTCCCTAAGCTTTTAACTGGAGTACTTTTGTGTTGAAAAGTAATCTGGTGATATTTGTTATAATAGGCTATCAACTATTGTAGTAAAAAAAAAAAAAAGGAACGATTTTTAGGGAGTGCTTTGAACTCTGAATTACTTATATAACGTTATTGATCTTCAGTACTTCTGTTAAATTAAGTGTGATTATCCTATGGAAACATTCTCCACAGGGCACCTGGGTGGCTCAGTCGTTAAGCGACTGCCTTTGGCTCAGATCATGATCCCAGGGTCCTGGGATCAAGCCCCGCATCGGGCTCCCTGCTCCACGGGAAGCCTGCTTCTCCCTCTCCCACTCCCTCTGCTTGTGTTCCCTCTCTCGCTGTGTCTCTCTCTGTCAAATAAATAAAATCTTTAAAAAAAAAAAAATTCTCCAAATGTTAAACCAAAAATAAAACCTGAGGTTTCCAGTTATAATCCAGTCTTAGAGTAGCAGCCACATTTCCCTCTGATATGTACTGAAAAATGGTTTTAATGTAACAGCCACAAGATTCTTTGCAATCAGAATTAACCATTGGTGTAGCACGTGAGGCCATTAATCGCTACATAAACTCTTACTTACTGTCCCCATCTAGATTGTTTGTAGTTCAGGTTAATCAGATGGAAGAGGACTAAGTACTGATGATGGGAAATTCTGTTGAGTGGTAATAAAAGCTATTCTGAGTCTCCTAGAAACTGACATTGGTTGCATTTTTATCCATAGACCCAAAACTTGGGAACAAAGCCCTAATATTGCAGAGAGAAACAGATAAGCAACATTAATCAGTTACTAAAAGTCAAGTTTGTTTTGATTACTTATTAAATGGAGAACAGTAGCTTCAAGAACCTTTCAAACAATGGGTGGTTAATACTGTCTGTATTGTACAGTCCTTTATGTTTTACAAGGATTTTACTTTTCTGTTTAAGATTTGTAGTTTCAAAACTTACAGGAATTCAGTTGTTTTTCACTTCTACCTGCATAATTTAGGTGATTGCACCATAGTAAGTTCAGTTACGGGCACTTGGCATGATTTGTCAGCAGTCCTCTCTACCTGGATTCTCAGAATATAACCTGAAGTTCTAAATCACCACTATTTGCTACAGGAGACTTTATTTTTTGAATAACTTAAGAAACCTTCCATAAATGCGAAGTCTGAAAGTTGAATCTTTTTTAAAATCCCACTGAAACAAAGTAATGTTTACTATAGATGTGGGTTTAAAACCAGCTTTATTGGGCACCTGGGTGGCTCAATTGGTTGGGCGACTGCCTTTGGCTCGGGTCATGATCCCGGGGTCCTGGGATCGAGTCCCACATCGGGCTCCCCCTGCTTGTGCTCTCACTCTGTCAAATAAAATCTTTTTAAAAAAATTTAAAAAATAAAAAACCAGCTTTATTGTCGTATCACTGACTACTTTTCCCTAAGGACCATGCCTTCCTTTCAGACACATGCTGCTAGGTAAAGTGTAATGCCTTGGGTTTATTTGTGTAGAAGAGAAATGGTTAGGTTATCCCCACGTATACGTGACTTCGGAAGTCCTATTTTATCAAAATAAATAGTATAAACAATTATCTGATCTCCAATTCTGAGTACTATGTACATATTTTAATGAACTTAACAATATAGAAGACTAGTTAGAGAAAAATACCTATGCCTATTTGTAAAAGAAGTTGACATATTTACTGTTATGCAACCTAATGCCTCTGTTAATTAACACTGGCATTGTTTCAGTGTACCTGACTGATAACTTTAATTACCCCTCTCCAGCTCCTTTTGCTTTTCAAAGGAAAGATGTTTAGAAAATAGGTAGTATAATGTGATTACAATAGTTACTTGTTTTTAACAGAAAAAACAAAGAGCAAACATGCTCTTACTGTCAAAAAATACTAGCTGTAAAGGGGAGTCTCTGCTGAGAAATTTGACTTTAGCATTTTACTTGCTAAAACTTTACAAAAGCATAGATTTTGAACACCTGGGTTCAAATTCTGGATTTGTTCATCTGCTAGCTTTGCTACTTAACTAGGCTCTATTTCTCCATCTATAATTTAAGAGCAGAAGTGCGTTCTTGCTGGCGAGGCTACTTAGCTGAGATGATGAGTGTAAATCATCTAATCCAGCGCTACTGCAAACTAGATTATCAGTGCTCGTTTTCCTTCAGTCTCTTAGGAACCTTCTCTTTAAAAAGGACTTGCTGTTTTCCTTTCCTAATGAACTTTTTAAAAACATTTGAACAGCATAGCTAGCTATACTACAAGGATATTTGGGGTTTTGTTTTGGATGAAGATGTAAATATATGTGTCTTTCTGCAATTAATCTCCATATTTAGTTCTTTCACTTTTCCTTTGGAAACAGAGTACTCTGGTGGCTTATTCCTCATTTGCCTTTACCCTCATAACAACTTTGGTGTCCCTCATCCTCTGCACGGTTACTCCTTAATCTTTTCTCTGAGCCTCCCACAACAATGTCAAAATACTTTCATCCTACTGGGTATAACACAGGCCAGAAAGAGCTTTGATTTTTTTTTTTTGTCAGTTGGCTCTGTTCATTTTCCTATCCTGTGTCCACTAATTACCTTAGTTAGCTGTTTCCTCTTTAAAACTTCAGACTCAGAGGTTAAGGTGAAAACTGAATTACTGTGAACTTTCCCATCATGTTTGCTTTTAACCTTTTCCTCCTGTTTAATAAAATTTTAAAATAACACTGAAGTATAGAAATAAACTTCAATTCTCCAGAGGTGACTAACCCCACTAACTAACAGTCTGGTGTCCTACCAGACCTTTTCAGTGCCATGTTTTAACAATCCATTACACACTTGCATATCCTATTCTTTGCCTTTCTTTTTGTACTTATAAGATGGGTGTCTTCTTATGTCTGCACATGTCAGTTTTACCCTGTTCTCCTTAATGGTTGCCTAGTGTTCCCTTATACAGGATCTCTTCTTGATTTACTCATTCTCTATTAGTAGACATTTGGGTTCTTGCTAATTTTCTTATTCTATCCAGTGCTACAATAAGCACTGTAGCATTGTATGTATAATTTGCCTACTTTGTGTATTTCTATAAAATAGGTTCTTACAAGAGGAATAGCTAAGTCTCAGAGGGTGTATGTTCTAGTTTTTTGATAGACAGATACTATTAAATTGTCCTCCAAAAAGATGTTGAGCCAGTTAACACCTCAGCAATGCTTACGTGAGAATGAATGCTTATTTCCTCGCACCATCCTCGATTCTGGATTTTAGCTGTCTTTTCTGATACATGAAAATATTATCTTGATCTCTTTTATTTTCTTTGATTTTAAGATTTAAATTTTACATCATTTTTTATATGGAGATTTGAAAATACTGATTTTCTTTCCATTTAAACTTCACTTTCAAATAGATTTTGATTGCCATAAGAAATTGGCAATACCCTAGATCTTTTTGTTTTTTAAGTTCTTTCCCATCTTTCTCTACTCAGATGTCAGCCCCTCAGACTGGCCTTCTCTAGCCACCTTACCTGAACACCTCCCCCCCGTTTTTTAATGCATAATCCTACTTTATAGTAATGTAGAATTTTTATTACCTGAGAGAAACCTAATGTATATATAACCATATGCATGTGTATATAATATATAAAATATTTGAAATGGTATTTTTTTATGTTTACCTTCTGTTTCATGAAGGCAGACTTAATCCATCCTGTTTATTGCTGTTTCTCCAGTGCCTTGAATAGTGCCTGGCATATACTTTATGTCATCCCTTATTCACATAATTCTTATATTTACATCTCATAATAATGAGAGCAGGGAATAGGATGTACAGTTTCTCTTCATTTTATATAGCTATGCAGCTGAGACCTGGGAAGCTTATTAGCCAAATTTCAAATGGATGATCAGTAGATGATCTAGTTTTTAAAACTGTGGCTGACTTCTAATATTTTTTCTACTCTCTCATGCTCTGGAGAGTTCTTATTCAGAAGTTCAGGAAGGGACCATTCTTATTTTCATTTCTCCTAGCAAAATCCAAAATTAAGTATCTCATTTATAGGGATACTAATATCCCATCTGAAACATGCTTGAAGAATAAACCGTTTTGGGATACCTAGGTGACCTAGTTTGTTAGGCATCTGCCTTCGGCTCAGGTCATAATCTCAAGGTCCTGGGATCCAGCCCCTGCTCAGCAGGGAGTCTGCTTCTCCCTCTCCCTTTGCCCCTCCCCCTGCTCGTGCTCTCTCTCTCAAATAAATAAATAAAAATCTTAAAAAAAGGTTGTAAAGTTTATAAAATAAATGTTCATATCTGATATGTTTGTTGTGTTTCATTTTAATAGGCAAGAAAATAGCATATCATTGGTGAAAGCTTACTGGAATGAACTTTTTACTCTTGGTCTTGCCCAGTGTTGGCAAGTGATGAATGTGGCAACTATATTAGCAACATTTGTCAATTGTCTTCACAGTAGCCTTCAACAGGGTAAGGAGCATCTGATTTATTTCTTTTTCCAGGATATAAGAGGGGATGTCAATTTTATAAACTATGTTATCATTAAAGTTAGGTAGTTGATTAATATTTTAGATACCAACAGCCTTTTTACTAGAGACACCTTTTACATTTTAATAAATTCACCCATTAATCACCCAAAAATATTTTCAAATGAGAGCATAACAAAATTGAAACAATTATATTTAACTCTGGCAAGCTGCTTCTGAGTAGGCCCTGTGAAGTTTTGCATATTTGGACATAGATACCAAAGAATCCAGGGATTAGCTTACATAGAGGTGACCAGATATTTTTAAATGTTTACTTCTCACCAATTTTCAAACTGCCTTTTTTAAATTATAGTCCTTTGAATCCCAGCATAGGCTGGGTTTTTTTTGTTTGTTTTTGTTTTTATCAGTTCATTGGGATATATTCTTTCACTTAAACAGAGCAGTCTTTACTCTTTTTTCCTTTTCTTGATGCCATGGTGATTACGGCTTTAATTGAGGACACAGGCGGTAATTGATTTGTAAACATTTAATTTTAAATTGGCTTGTGACTAACCATGAGCATGGGAAGAACTGCTTTTTGAATTTAGGAAGAATTTACAAATTGGGAATCATGTTTTATTTCCTTAGCATGTCCCATTTCTCATTGTTTTGTGTTATTTTTAAATCATCTGGTTCCACTTCCTGTTTGAGGGCAGGAAAATCACCTTTAAATGTCATCAGCAGTAGATTTCCTAGAAGGTAGCACTACATTCCATCTTATTTATGGACTCCTGGTCTTGATTCATTTCCCATGAATTTGTAATGGGTTATATATAGCCTACTTCTCTAAAGCTGTGGTTGACTAGTCAGATGTGTTTTAAACAAAAACACAATAAATTTTAAAAGTTATAAAATTTTATTATACTCAACTTTTCTTTGGTCTTGGCAGTGTTTTTTTGCTAATTTTTATTTTAGTAGTGTTGGTAACTTTAAAAAATCTGGGTGCTTTGCTCATTTTTTTCAACCAATTACAAGCTTAAATAAAATCTTGTTACCAAAATTTGAGTCTTTTGTAGGCCACTTTTTCAGGAGGTTATCTTTACAGCTTATCTTCTCAAAGATATATCTTGAAACACTAAATTTCTGGGGGTTTTTGTTTTTTTTCCTAACAGCTTTTTTTCTTGAATGAGAAAGATCACAAGTTTCATCTTTACTTGCAGAGATAATGAATTTTAAACATTTACAGATTGGTTATATTCAAAGCTAGAAATTAGAAGGAAATATATTGAGTAAAAATAGTCATACATTTTAGCCAAAAACTAGAAGCTTTCATTGTTTGTTTTTAATTAAAGATAAAATGTCAACAGAAAGAAGAAAATTATTGATGGAGCACATCTTTAAACTACAGGAGTTCTGTAACAGCATGGTTAAACTCTGCATTGATGGATATGAATATGCCTACCTGAAGGCAATAGTACTCTTCAGTCCAGGTACATAAACATTTCTTTCTTATTTAAAACACAGTATTGGGAGAATCTCATATATTACTGGTAGGAACGTGAAAGAATGCACTGAAAGTGGAAACAACCCAAGTGTCCATGAACAAATGAATAAACCAGATGTAATATCTACAGACAGTGGGGTATCAGCCATAAAAAGGAATGAAATTCTGACACATGCTACACCGTGGTTGAAAACAGTATACTGAGTGAGGGGCGCCTGGGTGGCTCAGTTGCTGGGCATCTGCCTTCGGCTCAGGTCGTGATCCCACGGTCCTGGGATCGAGCCCCGCATTGGGCTCCCTGCTCCGCAGGAAGCCTGCTTCTCCCTCTCCCACTTCCCCTGCTTGTGTTCCCTCTCTCGCTGTCTCGCTCTCTGTCAAATAAATAAATAAAATCTTTAAAAAAAAAAAAAAAACAGTATACTAAGTGAAAGAAGCCAGGCAAAAAAAACCCCATTTTATATGATTCCATTTATATGAAATGTCTGGAATAGGCAAGTCTGTAGAGACATAAACTAGATTAGTGGCTATCAGGGACTAAGGAGGGGGAGCATGGGAAGTGACTGCCAGTGGGCACAGAGTTTCTCTTGGGATGACAAAAATGTTCTAAAATTCAATTGTAATGATGGTTGCACAGCTCTGAATCTACGAAAAACTATTGAATTACACTTTATATCAGTGGATTTTATGGATATTAGACATTGATATAGGTATGAAAAGGAAAGTTGAAGAAATCATTGAAATGATATAATTATGTTCACATCAACATTTGAATTCTTAGGCATACTTTGGTGTAGGCATCATGAGAAGGCAAATGAAAGGTGAGTATTGGTTTGTTAATGGGTTAAACTTCTAAACATTTTATTAGAGTTACCAGCAAATAGAAAAATGTCTCTTATTTTCCTGCCAGTTTCTAGCTTTCACATACAGTAAAATGACAGTAAGCTCAATGATCAACTTATGAATAAGAAAAATTGACTATTCTCTTAGACCCTGTATTTTTTATTTTGGTATGTCTATTCCTGTGCATCATAATAAAATTATATGAGGAAACTTGCTTCTTAAACCCCGTGATACAAATATGACAATTAAACCTTTTTTTTCCTGTTTCTTATAATGTTTCATATAAGTTAATAACATGGATTTCCATTTTAATCACAACCAATTTGCCACCTTCATTTTCCTTAAAATTGAAAGAACATAGATTTGATTTAATGTAATTTTATTAAGTATTCCCAGTATTTTCTATTTGTTTTTTATTCTCTTTAGTCAGAGCAGAGCTTTCCATGTTTTTCAATATTGCCTAAGTTAGGCATAATTTTATTGAAGTTCTCTTAATATTCCCATTTTTGTGAAATTTTATAGTGACTATTAAAATGTTTATATAGATTATTTCATGTTTCTTTGTTACAGTTTTTCTGATAGAAATACTGTCCATTTTTTGATAATTTCAGAAGTATCTTTTTACCTAACAGTGATGGGGAGGTTCTTATGAAAAAAGTAGTGTAGAATATAATCTGCAGATATTTCATTGGATTAAAAATGCTTTTTTAACTAAGCTAAGTCATTTTATTTTTTTGTTCCTGTTGAAGCAAAATGATCAAACTCCCATGACTTTTGGAATAGAGAAAACTATTTTAGTAGAAACCAGTGGTCTCAATTATTTACATTTTAGAATATGTATATGAGACAAAATCATTATGAGGGTTAAAGTACAGGCATACCTGGGTGGCTCAGTTGGTTTGAGTGTCTGCCTTCAGCTCCGGTCATGATCCCGGGGTCCTGGGATGGAGCTCCACGTGGGGCTCCCTGCTCAGCTAGAAGTCTGTTTCTCCCTCTCCCTCTGTCCTTCCCCCCACTCATACTCTCTATCTCTCTTTCCCTCTCAAATAAATAAATAAAATATTTTTTAAAATAAATATTTTAGAGGGTTTAAAGTACAGTGTCTGGCATTTAGTAGGTGGGTTACTAAATACATTTGTGGAGTGAGAGAACCATGCATAGGATAGCGCCTTTTTTTTTTGTTTGACTGAACTGTTCTTCCCACCCCCTTCTTTCTCATCTCTCTGTGCCTTATTAAGTGAGCATTCAGAACTAGGGTAACAATATATTTAATGTTTCAGATCATCCAGGCCTAGAAAACATGGAACAAATCGAGAAATTTCAGGAAAAGGCATATGTGGAATTCCAAGATTATATAACCAAAACATATCCAGATGACACCTACAGGTATCTAAAAGTTAAATACTATTTAATTAAATCCATCTTAAAATTTTTTATGAATCTATTTCATTATTTTCCATTCCAAGAATAAATCAGTGTTTTAGTCAGCCTGGACCTTTGAAATAGCTAATCCTATTAAAAGCAGTAGTGCATTGTTGCAAGTGATTTACAGGTAGTATTTCATGCATTTCTTAAAATTTATAGAAGACGACTTGAGCAGAGAGAGGTTAAATAACTTGCTCAGGGTCACACGCAGATGGCAGGGCCTACCTGTGAGCTCAGGTTGTCTGGCTCTAGTGCTCAAATTCTCTTTTCTTCAGATGAAATAAAGGATTTTACTTACTTATTTTTTAAGATTTTATTTATTCGTTTGACAGAGAGACACAGCGAGAGAGAAGGAACACAAGCAGGAGGAGTGAGAGAGAGAGAAGCAGGCTTCCCGCTGAGCAGGGAGCCCGATGTGGGGCTCGATCCCAGGACCCTGGGATCATGACCTCAGCCGAAGGCAGACGCTTAACGACTGAGCCACCCAGGTGCCCCAAATAAAGGATTTTATTAGTGAAAGGGAAAAAACAGGAATAAATGAATAAAAACACCATTCGACTATTTTATAAATAATTAGGAATTTGGTTTATGATATTTCTACCAAGATATTTCTTGCCAATGTCCCTTGAAAAGTTATTTTTTTATAAGATCCAACTCAGTTTTTGAAGAGGAACAGTAATGGAGAGTAGTAGTTCTGCTAGCACGTGGCTGTCAGAGCCAGAATACCAGGGCTCGACTCCTGACGCCATCACTTACTAGCTGTATGACCGTTGGCAAGTTACTCAACTTCTGTGTTTCAGTTTCTTTGTCTGTAAAATGTAGATAATAGTACCCACAATTAGTGTAATGATTAAATCAGTTGATATATGTAAATAGCTTAGAACACTGCCTATTGTATAGTGTATCATATTGCATATAGTGTAACATATATGTAATATATAATGGCTATATAAATGTTTACTAAGATTATTAAATTAACATGCTTCGTACTAATAAAAGAATGTTTTAATAAAATAATTGTTTACAGATATTAAATAATAGATTTTTAAGCCAGTTCCATCATGAAAATCACCTTTAGTTTATCTAACCAGTTTTCCTACCCTGTTTCCTACCATTGTTATTCCTGCAGCTCATGTGGTAGGAACAAATAGGAACTGGGTAATTTGAGGAGGAGACTAGTGACTATAGGAGGGTGACTAGGGATGCCTGGGTGGCTCAGTCGGTTGATTAAACATCTGCCTTCAGCTCAGGTCATGATCCCAAGGTTCTGGGCTCGAGTCCCACATCAAGCTGCTTGCTCAGCAGGGATCCTTCTTCTCCCTCTGCCTGACGCTCCCCCTGCTTGTGCTCTCTCTCTCTCTCTCTGACAAATAAATAAATAAGATCTTAAAAAAAAAAAAAAGGTGACTTAATCCTGTTTTCAAGTGGTCACAAATGTTAGAGTGCAAGGCCTTAGAATACAAGAGGGATACACATACCCAAGCTTTTCAGAAAGTTTTTTTTTGTTGTTGTTGGTTTTGTTATGATTGTTCTCAGTTTTTTAAAGTCTCTAAAGTTGTTTTATACCTCATTGCACAAACAAATATAGTATTTAAATTTTTCCTCCTTCTTGACATATAGCTGTTGGCTGATCTCTGTTCAAGTAGGTTCCAGGTGCTTTGATTGATCTCTGAACTCTCTCAGTTTCTTACATTCTGATTTATTTAAAAATAATAAATTAGCTTTGGATAGTAGTTTTCAGCCTCTACCTTATGCAAAGTATGGTTTTGCCTTTAAGATCCTCAGTAGCACAGAAACTGGCAGGAATCATTCATTTCATTAATCTTTACCACAATACAGAGAGATCGGGAGTAAGTGGCTAACACGCGTTCACATAGGTGGAGGGTTAGTTGAATCAAGATTTGAACCCAGTGGTCTTGATTCCATATTCTGTGCTCTTCCCCAGTCTTCCCAGTAATAACTATTGCCTGTTTTACCATTTCCATTTGTTTTTTGATTACCACTGATCCCCATGTGTCCTGATAACACAAAACATTGCTGTTCTTACAACCTCAACTCAATCTCTAAGCCATTCTTAAATGTATAATTTGATCTGTGCTTTAATAACTTAGTTCCATGGTGGAGCGCCTGGGTGGCTCAGTTGGTTGAGCGTCCATCTCTTGATTTCAGCTCAGGTCATGATCCTCAGGGTCGTGGGATGGGCCCGTGTTGGGCTCCAAGCTCAGTGGGGAGTCTACTTGAGATTTTCTCTCTCTCTCTCTCTCTC